TTGTTTTAACCTGAATGAGGTAGAGTCCTGGTTAAAATATTATGTGGTGATGTAGTTAAAGGTTATTTTCTAATGCACGTGTGTAAGTAGGTTAATTATGATTGCACACGGAACACTGCTTGTGATACTGCCCAACTTCATAGTGTTTTACAGAATAGACAATATTATTGTCTATATTATAACTTCCTAGATCTAAATCAATTATCTTTATAGATTACTGTATCAATATAATTGATATTAAAATCTTCTCAGGGTTGGAATTACCTTCACTTTTCTCCTTTCTGTAGCATAGATTTCTCCATTTTAGTCAAAAATAGAACTACTGGCACTAGTGTCCTTAATTACATTGGATAGTCAATAAAGCAGGCATGGTAGGCATTTTTCCAGTGGGCATTGTTTGCTGACAGCATTTCTTTGTAACTTCAGGTCTTCTCCAGTCATTACTGGCTCCATTAGTGCTCTCTTAATTCTGATTGCTCCCTTGTCATGGCTTACACCTGATGTTTGCCTGCCTTGATTCCTCTTTGCAGAGTCTGCTCCAGGTCAAATGTCTTGTCCGAGTGTGGTAGTGTTCTCTCCTTCTGGGTCTTCTGCCCTTATGTTTGTTCTCTGCTGGCACCTGGATGAATTGGGAGTACTGGGGAAAGATGCACTGTAACATTAAAAGTGGGTAGTTAAAGCAAATTGTGGAGTATGTTGTTCTGTGTAGACAGATAAGTTGAGAGAATTTATCTTTGTACTTATTGAACTTATATACACGGAAAGTTTTCAAAAGCCTATTGCTTATCTGTATTTGGATAGATTTACAGAAGAACCATAGTAAAATGTACAAACTGATACAAAGGGCCCCTGTCACATTTCAGTTACCAATTTGAATATGTGAGGTACTACTTATAATTTTTGTTAGAGGAAAATATTGTATGTTAGTACCTTTAATTTTGCTTCAGAAATGTTTGAGTCATTTCTTCTGAAGCTTCCCCAAATATCGTAGGCAATTGTATGAGAAGGTAAACCTAATTTTAGCAAAATTTTTAGCAGCTGGAAACAGGAACTTACAAAGGCAAACAATGGGCAACATATTATCATCACACTGTGTCTCAGCTTGATGCAGGGTTTTTTTTAATGTTATTTTAAAATATTCTTCAATAAAATTTGTTGTACAATAATAGAATAATTGTGTACCATTAAAATTATACTGGTTTCAGTCTTAATATGGAGGACTGTGGTGCTTAAAAGTTGGAATTTCAGGCATATATTAGGTTTAGCTTAAATTTTAAACATAGCTTTTTGTTTCTCTGTAGGATCAGCATCTCAATACTTGCAAATGGTTTAGTTGGAGAAAACAGTTGGCTGTTTTCACTTACAGGCAAATACAAAAATGTAGACTGTAGATTGCTCAAATGTGAGATTATTAAGGATTTTTGCTTACAATAACATTACTGTATAAAAGTATAATCTTGGCAGTGTTTCTCTAGACATATTTGAAATTGGTTACACCCATCTTTTGGCTACATAATGCAGGGCTTCAGTTCTTAGGACTGAATTATATTTACAGGGATGATGCAGCCAATTTCCCTGTTGCTGCATCATCTGTTTCAAATGACTTATTACCCATGTGTTCATTACACACTGGTTACTGCCTTTTGAAATTCATAGTCCTTCACCATTAAATGCTGTTTTTTCTGCAGAAAAAGAAACCTTTTGCAGTTACAATAGATGTCTCGGGAGCTGACTTCCATGTATCTAGAATGAAGTATTGCTTTGAATGATCAAGTCTTAATGATGAAATGTTTACTAGTTTGTTTAAAGATTACACAATACCGCCATATTAAGAAAGACTCAATGATAAAACATTTAAAATTCATTTTTCTATAGAAGAAATCATAATATTTTTGGTAAATACTTCATCTAAAAAGTGTAGTCTGTACTGGTTAATAAGACAGGGCCATCTGGGACAGTATCCTGTTCCCCATAAACAAAGGCTTGGTAAGGAAAAGAGGTTATTAACTAGGATGATACCAAATGAAACCTCACTAGAGCATGCTCCAAGCCTCTCAAAATGAACAGTGCGTGCAGTTCCTGAGCTGTAAGTGGGGTCATTGCATTTAATAGGCATGATATTTTTTTCTTCCATGAATGTTTACTGATTTTTGAACCCAGTGTAACCTTTTAGTAACCATAACATTTCATTGCAAGAATTATCATGACCTAAATTTACACTGTGCAAAGATCCACTTCTGATGATGCTTTTGCACCTGTCATATAGTAATTTAATTTGGTATCTCCTAGAGAGTGAACAATCTTTCATCCTTGTATTGTTCAGAATACTACAGCCAGAGTTCTTAATACAGCAGTGTATTAAAAATATTGCTAGCTTTTATGAAGTTTTTGGGGTGCAATGTAATTGTCTGTATACTGTCTATATAAGTGTGCAGTTTCATATCAAATTTTTAATGCACTTTTTTGTTCTGATATTAAGTAACTGTTGCTTCTGTATCCTGTTTTCAGCCAGTTTTGCTATGCAGAATTTCAGCACAGTTTTGATCAAAGGCATTGGTTTATTCTAAAGAATACTTTAAAATAAAATATGTATCTAGGCTGATGATTCGTTGCAGTTGAGACAGCACTGTTTGAAAAGAACAACATTATTAACTTAGGTAGAAATGGTGATGGGCTTTTAACTACAAATGTGCTGCCAAGCTCTGTGGCAATGATTGCTCTGTATAATATGTTTTAGGAAATTATTTCAGATAGCTTAATTTAATCTGTTTGTTGTCAGGCTTTGTCATTTGTGGGAGGTTTGGAGTTTTGTTTTTTTTTTTCTAGCTCAGTAGTTGTTGACCTACTTGTCTGTTTTATAAACAAAAAATAGTTTTTTGTCCTTTATTGACAGTCTACCTATGTAAACTAGTGTTTGACTAAGAAATTTTTCAAACAGTTTCTATCCTCTTGGAAATTTTCATATGAATTTTCAGTTAGAGCAGGAAGGCCAAATGGTGTAAATGTTGTTATGAGAAGCAGATGGGAGATTTAAAAGGCAGTAAAATATAAATGGAATGAGGAGCTTTGATATTGAACACATGCTTGCTGTCAAACATCCATTTAATTTACTTGTTAAAATGGCTAGCCATTTTTTGATACTTGCTTTTCCTGTCTTAAAAGGAATGGAAAAATGTCATTTGATTGACCTAGTTTATCTTCTAGATTTAAACTAGGTTAAATTAAAAATACAAATGTTAATTTCCTTCAAAGGTGCTGAATAAACTGTTTCAATTATGAAAACACTTATTTGGTAACTAGAGGTCTTTAAATTTTATTTCAGCAAGTTATTATTATAGATTTAATTTGTAATGTTTTTATTTTCTATGAATAAAGTATAATAGAGATGCTGTATCACTTCTTCCATTGAGTTGGAGAACATTAAGTGGACATAAGTTTCATTTCAGGAATGTCTTATGATACAGCTATGGAAAGATAATCCTATTCTAGATATCACTGTATAAGAGAACACTTTGTTATAATACATACTTTTTTTTTTTTTAAGTAAATTTTCAGCACATTAAATCTTTCTAATTTCTTCTATTCAAATTGTTTTTTTTTCTTTAAATGAGTTGACAGCTCTGCTGGTTCATTTTAGCACCTGCCATGGTATGCTTTTGACTTGCTGTTTTGTAAATGTCTGTAAATGTCATTTTCAGATGCAGTTTTGACCTAACTCAGTCCTCTCTCTAACTTTCTTAATTTGTGTGTCTCTCCTTGATTGTAGTTTGACTAATGGAGCAGTGCCGGCATTGTCATCTTAGTGCTTACATGTTAGTCTTGGTTTTGAGAACCTTGCTGTATTCTTGTTATTATGCAGATTATGCTCAAGTCTGTTACAGGCTTATGTCTACTTACAGTACATTTGCTACCCTTGCATAATTTCACTAAATGACATACAAATAGAAGAGAAATTCCAGCTATTTGTACGGAGAAGAATGCAGACTGGTTGCTTTTTATTTTCTTTAGCTTCTCTTTTAGTGAATAGAGAATGGTAATGAATGAATGAAATGATTGCTTTGGCTTACTTTTTCTTAAGACTTGGAATACTTCTTAAAGGCTTTTCCAAGTATTGACCATTGAATTACTCTGGAGAGTGCTTTTAATCATATTTTTGTCCAGTGTCAAGCAGGCTGTATTATGTAAAGAAATTTTCCTGAAAGATTTTTTCCAGTTTTCAAGTTTTGTTTTCTTTTGTATTTTTTGTCATTTTAAACAGTTGTGTTTTTTGCTGTGTAAGTATGTGTATGTCATGTTGTTTATTGGAAAATTAAGGTAAAGTTTTGTAGGAACTCTGCTTTCAGTTTTATTACTTGTAAATAACTTCTAAATTGTTCATTTTGCTTTGCTGTGTGTACAGGTCTAAATGTACACTGTTAAATTTCCAAGATAAAAGTTCTATTGAGAAAATCTAATGTTAAATAAGGAGCAAAACTTCCTTTAATTTACACTTTCACTTGGTGCTTTACAGAGTACCTGAGCTTAAAACCAAATGAGGTAGGGGTTTTTCACAGGAAAATGTAATGACACACTTGCAACTTACTTGCTGTATTTTGTGAATGTTTGCCATATTGTTTATTGGTTGTGATAGTGAAGCATTAATGTATCAATTATCTTGATAATAAGAGGTCAAATGTTAAAAGCTTTCTGACAATTTAACATATGACTTTGGTATTAATTAGCTGCTTGTTCATTTTGAAGAAGCTTACCTTGGATTAAATTTGCCTAGTTGCATGAAGTCTCAGACTATGTAAATCTGGAGCCTGTCTTTTCCTGTGATTACTGGATTCAGTACATGCTATTGAGAATGCTGTATTTTCAGAGGCTTTTTGTATTCTGCTCATGGTGTTTGCTGAGCAGGAACTGTAGCTAAAAATAACTAAAATGCATTTTTCTGTTTCTCTTTCTTTCTTGCTGCAGGATGACGTAGCTTTGCCAAGGATTTATCAGCTAAGCAGAAAATGAGCTTAACATCCTGGTTTTTGGTGAGCAGTGGAGGCACCCGCCATAGGCTGCCACGAGAAATGATTTTTGTTGGAAGAGATGACTGTGAGCTGATGTTACAGGTAATTGCATCAGCCTTCCATGTGCAACTGCTCAAATTGTGAACTTAATGCATCAGTGTTGTATTTCTTTTGAGAATTAAATTCCCCAGATGTGGGGGGAGTGATTTTGATTAATCTTTTGTGTTCATAGAAAAAGTTAGTTCCAATATACTGCCATCAAGCACACAGTTACTGTTGAAGTACAGAGGATCACATTTTCTTCATATAAATCACATACAGAATGCAAGAATAGATGAAATAAATTTTGCAATATGGATGCTTTTGAAAAGAGCTTTCTTTTTCTGCAACTTGTAATCTAATTTAGTCACGTGACTTGATGTAACTCTATCCCCATGACCTGATCTTGTTGTACAAAGGCAAATTAAATTAGTAGAGAAGAGTATTCCTCTATCTCTAAGGAAGTTGAATGACTCAGTCTCAGTAATGGTTTCGGTGGAACTGTAAAAATACAAGTCTTAGTCAAAATAGTTTGATACTTCAGTAGCTTCCTCAACTTTCAGGTTCACTATGTGGAACTCTTAGAGGTGTGTAACTGTATTGTTATGTAGCCATATTGCATGCACTTAACCCTATCAAAGCTGTAGTCCTCTGAGCTATATAATATATATATAGTATATATATTTTTGAATCTTTCTAGTATATATATTTTTGAATGGTTAGTGGTAATATTTGGGGAGTTTCTTCTTGATTTCTTGTCTTTGATTACTGTAGAACTCTTAAGAAGATTGTACTTCAAAACTAATATTCTCAACCCTTCATGCCATTCAATAAAATATTTTCTTTTGGATTTTTTGTTCCCAGTAGTTGTATATGCAGCCATTAACAGCCAAATTAGAATCTCGCTTTCAAATGAAATGCCTAGAAACCTATTTTCATGTGTATTACTCAGAATGTAATATGTCTAATAAACTACATTTGGCTCTCAACCTCAGGAGGCATCTAAAGATTTTACTGGTGATGGAAATGCTTTGTCCTGTTAGACCGTAGTTGAAAATACTCATAATTTCTCTTTAAAGACAGGTAGTATGATGTCCTAGTGATTTATGAGGGAAGTATTAAAAAAAAAAAACAACTAAACAAAGAAAACAAACACAAAAAAAACTCAACACCAAAAGCAACCAAAAACCCACCCCATTGGTTCCTCTCCAGAAGATTATAAGCAAAAAATGCTTTAATTTTACCACTAGCTTGTTGTAATGGATTCTTGTCTCTGAATAAGGGAGCCTTTTCTTGCTTCTTTCTCCCCTATGCCATCTCCTGTCAGTGGTTGATTAGTCCTTAGAGAGAAGCTGAGTTATTATTTTCTGTTACAAAGCTTCAGTCATCATCACCTTCAAAAGTAACTGCCTCTTTGATTAATATTGTGAATAGATTCCAGTCATTTACAAATGTTATTTGTTGAATATTGACCTCAGAGGTAGTAAAAAGAATCAAGGGGCCTGGTGATTTTCAAGAATATTCTCTTTAGCCTGCTGTTATGTTAGGTCTACATGCCAGCATGACTGTAACACCACATACTGCTGAAGGGGGAGGAACGCACCAAAAGAGAAGCTAATAATGTGTTCTTGTTCTGTATGTGTAGCTCTTTGTGTAGGACCTTCCTTTCCACTTTTGACAACTTGGTTGTTCTCTTACTGCAAAGCATGTGGACAATGCATGATAAAGAAAGCAGAATTTAATGCTTTTATTCATAATCTCTTGACAGAAAACATGTTATAAAAGCCTTATTAAAAAGCATTTCAACTCAGTTGCATGCTTGATACCTAACCACTGCTCTTCTAACAGAGGTTTTGTTCATGTCTGGGAATACAGATTTGCTTTAACAGGGCTGTTTTGTAAATATGCTTAAACATAGTGTGCAGTCTTTGTATTTATCTAGCTGCTCCAATGCATTACCCTGCTTGTGGATAAATACCACACTTTCCCCTTCTGTCACCAGTATGTTAAGAAAACTTTTTGAATTTTGATGGGGGAATAATCTTCAAGGTGAAAAATTCTACATTATTCACATTATTCATAATATCAAAATTATTTCCAAAGAATACTCTTACTTTCTGTATTCTGAACACTTTCTTAGTAGTCTGAATTGGATTGAAGAGTCTGTCTAAAATAATGGTAGTCACAAATTTATTTTAACTGAGGATGGAGTTTTCCCTCTTTATATTCACGCAGCTGTTAACACAGTAATTGTGCGATTTTTGTTAGTTCTTCAGTCATATATAAATCTTTGTACTGGGTCTGGCTGGGATGGAGTTAATTTTCTTGATAGAAGCCCTTATGATACTTTGTTTTGCGTTTGTGACCAAAACACTGTTGATAACACACCAGTATGTTAGCTGTTGCTGAACGGTGCGTGCAGTTTCAAGGCATTCTCTCTTTCTTGTTCTGCTCCTTCTACACACACATGACTATACTGGGGATGCACAAGAAGCTGAGAGGGAACACAACCAGGACAGCTAACCCAAACTGACCAAAGGGATATTCCATCCCATATGATGTCATGCTCAGCAATAAAAACTGAGGGAGGGGGCTTTGGGGAAGCTCAAAAGACTTGCTGGGCATTGGTCTGCTTGTGGGAGGTGGTGAGTGTTGTCTTTGCATCCCTTGATTTGTTTTATTTCTTCTTTCTTCTTCCTCTTTCCTTTGCTGCTTAAGCTATCTTTAACTCTACCCATGAGTTTTCTTGCCTTTGTTCTTCCTGTTCTCGTCCTTATCCCACTGGGGCAGGGGGCAGTGAGTGAGCAGCTGTGTGGGGCTTAGCTGCCAGCCAGAGCACCCGAATCTTATAAAAAGTAATTTTGATAGTACTTAAATTTGAATGGAAGGCTGCAATAACAAATCAGAAGGAAAAACAGCATTTGCACCTGTAAAGATAGTGCGCAATGAATAAAAATATGTCCAATTATATGCAAGTAATCTGAGCCTGAGGAGAACCTTAATGTTCTGCAGAATATCAAGTTTCTCTAAAAGCCCCAGCCTTAAGTAATCATTCTTACCATTTCAGAAGATATGACAAAATATCATGAAGCTTTAAAGATCTTTTTATGTCCTGTCCATTTTAACATATTTTTAATAGGAAGTAGCACATAAAGATAATAAAATATTGATTCCTAATACAATATGTATTTGAATAACATAATTGAAAGAAATTCAGAAATTTTCCCCATAACCTAAGTAAAGATAGGGTATTTCTTGTGCTTGCATTGCTGCATCACTTGAGTGTGGAAAAGCGTAATCTCTGCTTGGCATTATAGGCTCAGCAGAACACCCACACCAGTGAATTTGATATTACCGTGATAGCTTGTTTCACTTGAAGAAAGGTTACTAAGTTAGAAAATGAACTATACTGGTATATCTTCATTTACCATTAAGAACACTTAACTGATGTAGTATACTAGTGCAGCTTAGATTGGCATGGACCTTGTTGTTCATTTGTCCATCTCTTCCTTAATTGTCCGCTCCCCCTTTATGTCCTGGTCCCCCCTTCTACACCCCTCAAGACTGCAGAGGAAATTGGCTCAAATGAAAAGTCTAAAAGTAACATAGTCAACTATAAACAAGAGGACTGATTTCACTTCTTTGAGGAGAAAGTGAAGTAGGCAAAAGATGGCATGGAAAGGAAGAATAAGGAAGTAAATTGAAAAGAAGGAAGGAAAATAATATTAGCAAGTCTCGAGAAGTCAAGAAGGAATGAGATGATAAACATGGGATTCTGAGAAGAGAAAGCATTTCCTTAAAAATCAAGATCGTGTGTTCTGATGCCTTGAACTGGCTAATGCACTGGTAACCTGGGACTCCTAGAACTGGCAGACTGCAGGTGCTGGTACAGAAATAAGCACAGAAGTCTCAGGCAGAAATTTACCATTCTCAGTGCTATATAGTCCTGAGCAATGAGTTGAATAGCAAGGATAGAAGATGCAAACCTGAAACTGGAAGAACAGTGTTGGAAGAAATTTGCTGCTATGCAATCATGTCAGGACACTGCACTAGCAGAATTACCAGTAAACAGACAGATCAAGCATGCCCAGCTGGGCAGTATGAGCTGTGGGCTCCATCCAGTTGGGAACTCTTCTAGATGTCATCGTGCTGACCACGTGCATGCATGAAGGAAGCATACATCCAACCCCACCTTTTCCTTGCTTAAATCAGCACCTCAGGCTGCAAGCACTTGGCCATGGGCAAGTACTGAAAGAGGAGCTTAGCTGTTAGGGAGGTGATGTTCTCAGAGGAAATAGTAACAGGGATTGTTCTTGATTTATGGGTTGACATTTGGATGTGAAATAATTAATTAAAGAAATGCTGAAGTGCTTAAGGAAGGACTGATAAAAGAAAGAGAGTCAAAACTGATGGGAATAGTAATTCAGGAGCCGCTCAGACATTTAATGAAGAGGCTATAGCTAATTTGTTTAGGAAATTGAGATCAAGGAGAAACAATTTCAATGCTTGTATAATTTGTAAGTATCCCAGGCAACATAATGGCAAATTTACTAATGCATGACAGCAGAGGCGTGTTTCAGAGAGAACAGCAATACCACAGAATCATACTCATGTTTTGAAAGATGCATGCAGTTCAGGAGAGAGAGAGAGAGAGAAGTAAAGGTGATGTTAGATTAAACATCAATGGTGAACTGAAAAAAAAATCTTCAGATGAGATATGGCTAAATCTGACTTATAATTACATTTGGGGAAACATAAAGAAAATAATTCTCCTGAATTAATTTTAGGATTCTCCTATGGGGCACCTAGGGCCAGAATTCAGTATGGTTAGAGATGGAGTTTTTTCATGCACGGGACTAATTTTTGTATGTAATTTGAATAAATGTGCTATGTAGAAAGAAAATAATCATACTGCTTTATTGAAATAGCCATTAACGCTGTCTTCATCTGTTTTTGAAATACCTTATTTTATGTAATTTTTTCTATATATTATAGTCACGAAGCGTGGACAAGCAACATGCTGTACTTAACTATGATGCCTCAACGGATGAACATTTGGTGAAGGATTTGGGCAGCTTGAATGGCGTAAGTTAACATCTGATACGGATAGCTCCCCATAGTCTTTTGTGTGTTTGCGTTGGGGTTTTTTTGAGCAAGGAGAGTATGACTTAACAAGTGTACATTGATATCTTCTTAATGCAGGATTGGAAATGGAGGAACATTCAAAAGGAAAATGTAGTTTTTGTGGGGTTTTTCCACTGCACATTATTTAAAGGGCTGCAGTGAATTCCATTTATAAGAGGGCCTTATCAGTAGGAAAAAATTCAAAAGGATAAGAAGGAATATGTTACTGTTCTGTATTTC